TCGACTGAGTTCGTTCCTTACCTGCTGCAGTGCGAGAGCTTGAGCATGGTGGAGGGGAAGCTGAAAGAGATGGGAATCCCTTACATCCAACGTCGAGTGGAGGAAGGTGGGATCTACGTGGACCAGCTATTCTTCCATGACCCGGACGGCTTCATGATCGAGATCTGCAACTGCGACAACCTCCCGGTGATCTCGCTTTCCGGGGAACCCATCATGGCCTGCAAGAGAGTGATGAGCCTTCTTCCTCAGCAACAGCAGCAGAAGGCGGCGCTCCAGCTGTAGCCAATCTGCAACGACAAATGGTGCTGCAGTGTGCGCCACCATCCATCCATGCATGTCAAGGATGCGTCCTGCGCATGCAGACGATTGCCTTCTGTTTACCTACCGAGTCTTTCGCGCATTTGGAATTCTCCTTTGTAGTAGCAATAAAGGTTGTATCAGTCTGTGGACAGGCTGCGACTTCGTAATGTAATGTTCATCATCTTTTGGATGAGAATGCAATTTCTACGTCTAATTCTTTCCACGACTTTGACAGCAATCTGATTATATTTCCTACTTATTATATTCTAGTAAAATGACGCATAGTCTTTCCACGACGCTGCAGAAGGAGCGCGGTTGACAATGTAACAGACCATATTAATCGCCTCTCCCCAAAAGTCCTTTGTCAACCCTGCATTTGAGATCATACACCTTGCTCTCTTCGAGAGTGTTCTGTTCATACGTTCGGCCACACCATTTTGCTGAGGCGTCATCCTAACAATGCGATGCCGAACGATTCCTTCATTTTTATAAAATTCATTAAAGTCACCTTCATAAAATTTCATGGCATTATCTATTTGAAGCTGCTTAATATGTTTACCTGTCTGCTTCTCAATCAAAGTCTTCCATTGTTTAAAGATTAGAAAAATATCATTTTTATGCTTCAAAAAATAAACCCAAACTTTCTTGGAATAATCGTCAATGAAAGTCAACATATACCTGGCACCACCCTTAGACTGAACATGAGCTGGACCCCAAAGGTCTGAATGAATATAGTCAAGAGTACCTTTCATTTTGTGAACTGCCGGAGAATTGAAACTGACTCTTTTCTGCTTTCCAAAAATGCAGTGTTCACAAAAATCCAGTGGCCCAGTACTCTGTCCGCAAAGTAGACCTCTTTTGCTCAATATGCTCAAACATTTTTCACTCATATGACCCAAACGCATATGCCATAATTTGGTGATGTCAGAATCAGACAATGATGATGACGAGACTGCAATTGAGCCTGTGACAATAGTTCCCTACAAAATATACAAGCTACCAGACCTACAAGCTTTCATAACAACAAGGGCACTTCTAGAAACATTCATAACTCCACCTTCAGCTGTGTATTTACACCTAAGGGCCTCTAGGGTGCCTAAAGAGATGAGATTCTTTTTTAAATCAGGAACATGTCTAACATTAGTGAGCGTCCTCACAATACCATCATGCATTTTAATTCGAATTGTTCCTCTACCAATAATATCACATGCTGCATTATTGCCCATCAAAACAATTCCACCGTTACAATATTCATATATGGAAAACAAATCTCTATTAGGACACATGCGATAAGAACAACCTGAATCTAAAATCTATTCATTTTTAGACCTCGTCCTGTCATCAGTAGCAAAGAAAATATTTTCATCATTCTCATCAGCTGCTACACTAGCTTCAACAGACTCAGTAGTTTTCTCAATAATTTTTTTGTTTGCTTTAATTTGTTTTTTAATTTAAAGCAATTAGCTTTAATATGCCTCATTTTATGACAATATCTGCATTCCAAATTTCTATGTCTGGATTTAGATCTAGATTTAGATCTACTATTGTCAAATTCTCTTTTATCTATTCTCCCCATAACAACCAGACCTTCAGCCTGATTCCCTCTACTTTCCCCAATGATATCTCTGTCTCTCTGCTCCTTAGATTTTAGTGTAGATTTAATTTCTTGATACGAAATTATTTCTTTTCCATAAATCATAGTATCACGAAAATACTTAAAAGATTGGGGAAGAGAACATAAAAGTAATAGGGCCTTATCCTCCAAATCCATAGCCAAGGAATCAACTTATCAAGATGTGAGAGTATAGATGTACCTTCAGTCATCCGAAGCATATACAAACTATGTTTTAAGTAGAGACGATTCTCTACTGTCCTCTTCATATACAAGGCTTTAAACTTGTCCCACATGCCCTTAGTCGTAGTCTCCGTAGCTACCTCTCGTAAAACCTCGTCAGAGAGATTTATAATAATGCTAGATCGGGCCTTCTTTTCCATACCCGCAAGATCTTCCTTTGACGTACCATCTGGAATGTTCTCAGCTCCTTGTAATGCTAAATCAACTCCGTCTTGAATCAGAATGGCCTCCATCTTGAGTTGCCACATACCGAAGTTGACATTTCTGTCGAATTTCTCGATAACGATCTTTGTTATTGTCATCGTTGCCAAAAGATCCCGGAACCAGGCTCTGATACCAGTTTGTTAGAGCTAGCCCCAGGAAATTTACCAAAGGGTAATTTTGGTAACCCAACAAAGACAATAAAGCGGAAAAGATAAAAGCGACAAAAATACCATATTTACGTGGTTCGATCAATTGACTTTAACCTACATCCACGGACGAAAGAGGAGCAAATCACTACCATAAAAGGGACAATTACAAATGCCTTAGGAAGAACCCAAACTGTAAGCCCAAACTATTTAACTGAGTGTGGACTTAAACCCAAAGTAAACACTAAGGTTTTTCTTGTGGTGCCTCTTGAGGTGTATATGACTTCAAAGCCTTGAGTCATGATTTTTCTTATTTTGTTCGGGTATAAAGATCGATATCAGAAGAGGTTTTTCGAACCAATTCATCCGATACTTAATTTAATGTTTGATTGTACTTTTTTTTCTAGAAAAGATAGTTTATAATCATTTGAAATTATTTTTTTAGTTTTTAAAAATATTTCTACGAATATTCTATAGAAAATCGATTTATTACCTTTTTAGTCTTTTGAAAATAGTCCTACGAATATTTTTTAGGAACCAATTTATAATCGGATCTTATGATCTTTCGATAATTTTATTACAAATATTTTACAGCAAAAACAACTCGATAATCGATTAGTTGTTTATATTTCGAGAATGTCGATGTGGTATGATGTTGGCCTAACGAAGGATAACTAATTTATGTTATATATATATATATGTATATATATAGAAGGTGACTTGGAGCTTAGCAGGCAACACTAAATGTGGAATCCTATAGATAACGTGTGCTTAGTTGGATCCACGTGTCATAATCACATGCATCGTCCACGTCAGGTTAGGCAACCTGTCGTCGTTACGGATCGGACAAAGTCGTCGTGAATCCCCCGTGTTGCGTATCAATATATATCCCCGGCGACATAGCTTCTATCCACCTCAAAGCACGTTCCGAGCTCTCTTTGTTCTCTCCATCAAACAAACAGCTTTCACAAGATGTTGGGTGCTAAAGGTGGCGCGCTGCCGCTGGCTTCCTTGAATCACATCTCCTTGGTCTGCAGATCAGTGGAGAGATCACTTGACTTTTACCAGAATGTGCTCGGCTTCCTCCCCATCAGGAGGCCGGGATCCTTCGATTTTACTGGTGCCTGGTAAGTTTAGTCTCCTGGCGTGATCCATGGCCACAACATTTCATTCTTCGGCATGGAGAATTCATGGAATTCTGTCTCCTCTTTCCATCAACCGGTTTTCCTTGTGTTCTTCTGATGCACAGGTTGTTCAACTACGGAATCGGCATCCACTTATTGCAATCTGAAGACCCCGAGAAGATGCCGAGGAAGAAGGAGATTAACCCCAAGGACAACCATATCTCCTTCCAGGTAATCGTTTCATAGTATTTTAGGAGATAGTGTAGACTGTTTCTTAGTTAGAGGAGCAGAGGAGGAAAAAGCATTTCTTCTTTGCTTCCTTTCACACCTTTCTATAGCTACAAGACGAGGGTATGATCGGTGATCGATACCATCGCAATTGCTTGACAACTCACATCCAAAAGCAGTAGTAGATAAATCAGTGTCATCACGATTCAATCTCTACACCCACCTAAGCCTTTTGTATTGCACTGAGTTCAAGATAAAGACGAGCAAAAGAATTCATCTTGAAGCCTTGTGAGCTTCACAATAATCATCATCATTTGACATGGTTGCGAAAAGGGCTGGGTGTGATGCTGCAGCACACACAGCTCATAGAAATGGTTGTCATCAGTCGCGATTGACACGTATTTTATCTTGCGTTACCTAACGAATAAGATGCGTCGACTGAGTTCGTTCCTTACCTGCTGCAGTGCGAGAGCTTGAGCATGGTGGAGGGGAAGCTGAAAGAGATGGGAATCCCTTACATCCAACGTCGAGTGGAGGAAGGTGGGATCTACGTGGACCAGCTATTCTTCCATGACCCGGACGGCTTCATGATCGAGATCTGCAACTGCGACAACCTCCCGGTGATCTCGCTTTCCGGGGAGCCCATCATGGCCTGCAAGAGAGTGATGAACCTTCTTCCTCAGCAACAGCAGCAGAAGGCGGCGTTCCAGCTGTAGCCGAGCAGCAACGACAAATGGTGCTACAGTGTGCGCCACCATCCATCCATGCATGTCAAGGATGCGTCCTGCGCATGCAGACGATTGCCTTCTGTATACCTACCGAGTCTTTCGCGCATTTGGAATTCTCCTTTGTAGTAGCAATAAAGGTTGTATCAGTCTGTGGACAGGCTGCGACTTCGTAATGTAATGTTCATCATCTTTTGGATGAGAATGCAACTTCTACGTCTAATTCTTTCCACGACGATGACAGCAAGCTGATTATATTTCCTACTTATTATATTCTAGTAAAATGACGCATAGTCGTTCCACGACGCTGCAGAAGGAGCACGGTTGACAACGTAACAGACCATATTAATCGCCTCTTCCCAAAAGTCTTTTGTCAACCCTAACCCTGCATTTGAGATCATTCACCTTGCTCTCTTCGAGAGTGTTCTGTTCATACGTTCGGCCACACCATTTTGCTGAGGCATCATCCTAACAGTGCGATGCCGAACGATTCCTTCATTTTTATAAAATTCATTAAAGTTACCTTCACAAAATTCCATGGCATTATCTATTTGAAGCTGTTTAATATGTTTACCTGTCTGCTTCTCAATCAAAGACTTCCATTGTTTAAAAATTAGAAAAATATCATTTTTATGCTTCAAAAAATAAACCCAAACTTTCTTGGAATAATCATCAATGAAAAGTCAACATATACCTGGCACCACCCTTAGACTAAACATGAGCTGGACCCCAAAGGTCTGAATGAATATAGTCAAGAGTACCTTTCGGTTTGTGAACTGCCGGAGAATTGAAGCTGACTCTTTTCTGCTTTCCAAAAATGCAGTGTTCACAAAAATCCAGTGGCCCAATACTCTGTCCGCAAAGTAGACCCCTTTTGCTCAATATGCTCAAACATTTTTCACTCATATGACCCAAACGCATATGCCATAATTTGGTGATGTCAGAATCAGACAATGATGATGACGAGACTGCAACTGAGCCTGTGACAATAGTTCCCTACAAAATATACAAGCTACCAGACCTACAAGCTTTCATAACAACAATGGAACTTCTAGAAACTTTCATAACTCCACATTCAGCTGTGTATTTATCCCTAAGGCCTCTAGGGTGCCTAAAGAGATGAGATTCTTTTTTAAATCAGGAACATGTCTAACATTAGTGAGCGTCCTCACAATACCATCATGCATTTTAATTCGAATTATTCCTCTACCAATAATATCACATGTTGCATTATTGCCCATCAAAACAATTCCACAATTACAAGATTCATATGCGGAAAATAAATCTCTATTAGGACACATGCGATAAGAACAACATAAATCTAAAATCTATTCATTTTTAGACTTCGTCCTGTCATCAGTAGCAAAGAAAATATTTCCATCATTCTCATCAGCTGCTACACTAGCTTTAGTAGACTCAGTAGTTTTATCAATAATTTTTTTTTGCTTTAATTTATTTTTTAATTTAAAGCAATTAGCCTTAATGTGCCTTATTTTATGACAATATCTGCATTCCAAATTTCTATGTATGGATTTAGATCTAGATTTAGATCTACTATTGTCAAATTCTCTTTTATCTATTCTCCCCCTAACAACCAGACCTTCAGCATGATTCCCTCTACTTTCCCCAATGATATCTCTGTCTATCTGCTCCTTAGATTTTAGTGCAGATTTAATTTCTTGATACGAAATTATTTCTTTTCCATAAATCATAGTATCACGAAAATACTTAAAAGATTGGGGAAGAGAACACAAAAGTAATAGGGCCTTATCCTCATCATCAATTTTTGTATCTATATTCTCCAAATCCATAGCCAAGGAATCAAACTTATCAAGATGTGAGAGTATAGATGTACCTTCAGTCATCCGAAGCATATACAAACTCTGTTTTAAGTAGAGACGATTCTTTACTGTCCTCTTCATATACAAGGCTTTAAGCTTGTCCCACATGCCCTTAGTCGTAGTCTCCGTAGCTACCTCTCATAATACCTCGTCAGAGAGATTTATAATAATGCTGGATCGGGCCTTCTTATCCATACCCGTAAGATCTTTCTTTGACGTACCATCTCGAATGTAAATCAACTCCGTCTTGAATCAGAATGGCCTCCATCTTGAGTTGCCACATACCGAAGTTGACATTTCTGTCGAATTTCTCTACAACGATCTTTGTTATTGTCATCGTTGCCAAAAGATCCCGGAACCAGGCTCTGATACCAGTTTGTTAGAGCTAGCCCCAGGAAATTTACCAAAGGGTAATTTTGGCAACCCAACAAAGACAATAAAGCGGAAAAGATAAAAGCGACAAAAACACCAGATTTACGTGGTTCGGTCAATTGACTTTAACCTACATCCACGGACGAAAGAGGAGCAAATCACTACTATAAAAGGGACAATTACAAATGCCTTAGGAAGATGTTCCTAGGCCATAAAACACCCGAAAATACTAAACAAGAAAAACTCAAACTGTAAGCCCAAACTATTTAACTAAGTGTGGACTTAAACCCAAAGTAAACACTTAGGTTTTTCTTATGGTGTATATGACTTCAAAGCCTTCGTGGATAGTAATTTATGGGTGATTGTTCGAGCTTGCTCCCCCCCCCCCCCTTGGTCGGCCCCGTGGACAACAGTCCACGGGAGGCTATTTAGACCTGTAGCCCCTATGGACAAAATGCTAAAGAGAGGGTATTACGATCGTTGCAAGTTCTTCCCTCGACTAAATAGGTATAAAAGCCGACCCCCGACACTAGCCTAGGGGTCGGGCCTCTCTCCAAGAAATCCCTTTACATTATATAACACCTCAAAAATTAACTTGAGCATCAGAGGGGTCAAGTCGGAAAATTTCCTCCGATGCTGACCTTTGTGTAGGAATTTACCGACAATCTCGGGCCACCTGAAGACCATCTTGGGTATCTTAATGCTGCATCAACTATCTTGCAAGACTATCATGTGAGGTCATCGTTATGCCTTTGGGTCCAGACTAAATCGAGCCGACTCACAATCAATGATACTCTCCCCACAACGATTAGTAAAATTCTTATATCAGACTCATTTAAGTCTAATTTTTAAAAATACTTTATTTTTATAAACTTTAAATTATTTATTTATTTATCGATTTTGCTTCCGCTTTCCATATTATTAAAATATGAGGATAATTTTTGTACTGTCATCAGCTAAACCTGTATTCTTTGGAAAAAATAAAATATCATTAATACTAAATTGAGATTACAAACTGATGGGTGAGAAGCAGTCCATTCCAAAATTGACGAGCCGATGAGCTATACCATTTGTGACTCTGAAACATACGTCACATTGATTATTTGAAGGCATGAAAAAGAAATTAAATATTATCCAAAATATTCTCATTGAATCAAAAAATATTTATAACTTTTTAGCAAAATCGACTAATTATAAGGAGTCGGTCTTTGGCAACGACTCCTTATAATTAGCCGTCACGGGCGGGTAAACCGTCTTTCCGCATTTCGCGAACCACGTGGCGACATCAGATCATCGTTCGGAATCGTACACAAATCCCTACTGGCATCCGATTGTGTGGAGGTAAGATGACTAATTTACCCTTCCGATGGGGGGCCTTCTTTGGCAGGTGCGGCGAGTGAGTGCCATGAACACAAGCGTTCGGGTTTCCGGCATCTTCTGTCGGTAAAAGGGGTACCGAGAACGGAGAAGAAAGAGGAAGCTGAGATGGACAATCCCTTGAGGTCCTTTCTCCTCCTCTTCCTCATCTTGCTGTCGTCACCAGTCTTTTTCCTCATCTCCTGTGAATCCGTACCCGTCGATCCGCGCCCGCGGGCGTTCCCTTCCTTCAAGATCCAAGAGATCAAGGTGCACATGGGATCGAGGTTATCTTCCTTTGCTTTACGAAAAGAAACCTATTTTTGTTGCTCAAGAAGCTTGCTTCTGTTTGGTTACTGCATTGATCCTTATCGAAGGAGGAGATCGGGTGGGGATGTTCCTACACTGTGAAGATAAAGACCAGCTGCTCTTCCAGGCGCTTCACCACTGATCGGATCAGCCTCGCTTTCGGTGATGCTTACCACAACGAGGTATCTATTTATTATGCTTTTCTGAGTTCTTATCTTACTTATTATTTTGAAGAAATAGATAAAATTTCAGCACGCCCTTTTCCTTTCCGAGGTGTTAATTTCTGTATAATTCATTTGGCTTGTAAAAAAATAATCTTTTTTTTATTCTGAAAATTTTTACACATTATTATGTTTACATGTAGACTCATTACCTTTAAACATATTCTCTGCTCTGTGTTTGTGCCAACATGTCACTCCTGATGTAAATAGCCCATCAGTTGGGCTAATGGTCACATTTGCGAATTTGGTATTTCATCCAGGTTTCACCCATAATATATCACCTACTGGATTAGAAGAGGAAATGCCTTTTTTTTTCTTAAAAAGAAAAAAAATGAATCTTGCTACAAGATGCTCCATTTGCTAGTATGATAACAGTAAGACTGGTGCATAGTAACTTAATTTATCCCTAAAAATTTCATTTTTTTTTTTTCTTTTTTGAGTTGTTTTCTCTCTTATGTTAATGTATTGAAGGGTGATGGTGATCTGAGAACAGAAATCAAATGTGAATCAAGGTGAGAAAAATCCAACAAGATCATGAACTGAAAAGGGTCATAAATGTTTTGTTGTTAAAAACTAGAACTTATATGAAAACTTTACCCTGATTGTGGTCTAAGAATATCCAGGAAAGTCTTTAGGCAAGAAATGAACTATTTATAAGGATCAAATACAACAAGAAAACATGAAACACTCAAGATACCACTCTAAGCATGCTTATTGACATGAAAATGTAGGTTATAATTGTACAAACCAATCTATGAAGAAAAAAGTTTAACGCAATTGATGAGGCATTTAGTGTTGAGTTCTCTGAAGTCTGAAAAGCATTTTAGTGCACATTAACTAAAATGGGAGTTGATTGACGACATACAATTAGAGCAAAACTAACAAATTTGACAGAGACTGCCCAATACGGGCACGGGATGATTCTTCAAGGAGTAGAAATGGCTCTGCAGTTTAATTGGGGTATGGTACTGCATATTGTAGGATGAGTTTCTACCAGAGTTCTTTTGGTTTTATGAATCAAACACGAGGGTCTTAGGATCGATGGTGTGAGGCTACTAGGTACCATTTCCATCTTCTTTGTTACTTGATTTTCTCAACTGTATGCCTCTTGAAAGCCTAGATAATCATCATAATTGACAATCTTCTTATTGATTTCAGGAAAATTTTCTTTAATCCAAAGTTCAACCATTGGTTTGAAATATCCATCACCTGTATGTACCGCCTGGCTTTATTGATTCACAAAAACTGATAATGGAACATACACTTCGGTATTACCCCGTCCTCATTTTTTTAGTTTATTTCTTTAGGCTATGAGATGATTTATGCAGATGTACAGCCTAGTATAGTGCCATATCAATCTGATAACTTGCTGAAACCTTTTTTTGAATGCTATTCAAATCATCAAGATTAACATTAAATGGTATATTACTGCCATAAACTTTCTCAATTATCCACTCTTTGCAATATTGATTCTATGTATAGGTCTGTCTTAAGCTTTTATGTGCAGTCCAAACTTATTAAGTCTCGTAATTTGACTGTGTAGCATTTCTTGAACTGTTTCTTCATTTTTCTTCAAATCCATTCTTGATATAATTAATTAGTCCTATTTATGTACTTGTTGCTTGAATTTTCTCCTAAAATTTATACAATAGTGCCCATCTAGATCCTATAATTTTTCTTTTCCGACACATGAAAGTATGGTTTCTGTCATCAAATTCCCTTTCTACTTTTGTTAGTGGAGTAAGCAAATCATTTTTGCCCACTCTCTACGCTAGAGTTTGGGCATAGCTTTGAAAAATCTTTCTGTTGGTTTCATATACAGAATAGCCTCATGAATATATGAGACTGAGAATGCGGTGATGTGCCAATATCTGAGCTATTGTGTATGATTTTAATTGGTTTCTAAGTTGTGTGACCAACATAACTTACATTGATAAATATATTTATATTGTTTATTCAATTTAAAACTTCTGTATGAAAGAGATCCATGAAATGTAGTATATGAATGTTACCTTTATTTCTTGTGATTAAGGTATATGCACCAAGGCTGGATGATCCATCATCGGGTGCATTCGAACGTTGCTCCACCGATACTTTCAAGATCCAAGGGCCATGTGGGTATGGAATATGCTATCTATACTTGCGGCGG